AGTTTAAAGAAAACCTAATCTTTAACTTGAATTGATCTATTTCTTTTATTGTCACTACTGTGATTCTATTTATCCCTTCATATCTTTATTCATATATTTATTTTTTCCATTATATTTTTATTTATTTGTTACCGTAATCACCTACACCATTCTTGTAACACCCCAAAATTGATGAGGGTGACCCGATCTGATCCGAGGTGTCAATTATCGATGTTTAAGGCGTACATTAGAGATATAAAGTGATGAACGCTTCTCTCATCCTTCTGAAGAATAGTGGCCTGAGTGAGTGAATAAATGGTTGGGGTTTGTTTGAAGATGATGACGAATCCAACGGTGATGGCATGACGATCACCACTAGTCAAAAGAGGCTGAATGGAGGGGCAACCAGTAACAGCTGAAATAATTCTATTAGGAAAACTTTCATTGGGTTTTGGTTTTCATTCCCCGTGTGGATGATGATTTGGGTTTTTAAAATCATATTTAGATATAAGGATTTTTTTATTATTTTACTCGTAAATAGTTCCTTAGCCTAGTGGGTAGGGCATGGTATCCCATACACATGGCATGTGGGTTCAAAACCCCTCAGCAACACCTATTTCATTTTGCGCTTTTTTTTCAACCGATAGGTATTAAGGGTTGAACCCCTGAACTTCTAAGAAGTTTTGAAAACTACCTTGAAATTTCCAAACTTCACATATCGATCCCAAAAATTAATTAAATAAACTTAAATTAAAATAAATTGGAAAATTAAGGGTGTTATAACTCTCCACTTCTTAAAATAAATTTCATCCTCAAAATTTATTTATGTCAAATGAAATCAGAAACTGAGCTTTCATAATTCTTCGATCTCTTAGAAACTTTTATATTAACATGCTTTCTCTGTTAAACATCAACCATTAGAATATGTCTCTTTAGAACTTTACCTTATCATAAACTTATAATCTGAAAAGATTTATCCTTTTAGAATCAATCAGACTTTAATTATCAATCCTTAATCAGCATAGCAGTTATTTACCTTAAGTGCAATATACATACATACATAATTTTTTTCTTTTATACGAGCAACATCACATTGATATTTACACTTTTACCAAGTATTCGAACATTTACTTTAATATCATACATGTCAAATCATTGAGGTACAAAGTTCATCACTTATTAGGTTTCAAACTCTTAAAATTGGAACAACCATGATTCCAAAAATTCTTCAATTCAATACATCGGTGTAGAACTTTAGGGGGAGAACACCTTATCACAACTTGGACGAAAATCATGCTCTTCAATCCATTTGGGTAGTAGTTCGTAATATTGAAACATCATTTATAAAGTTTGGCTACGAGTTTATCATCACAGAATGTTTGGGGGTAACAACTCAAATTCAGGTGGGGAGTCAGGTTGAAATTCTCGAACGAATAATCTCCCACGTTACATGCGGGGTAACTTCCAAGATTGGGACAAATGTTGACGTTATTCCCTTTTTACACAGATCGAGTCATAACAGATAAGATACTTTGGTATACTTATTACAGAATGCTTACTTGACATCAGAGTTCCGGCTCAGAATAGTACGGTTATAATCTAGGGGCATGTATAAACCAGACAACCTATGACAGTCGATTACCCATCTACCTAGAAGTATTGACTCAACCTGAATCTTATACATTAAAGGAAACACCCCCAGAATAATACGGGTGAGTCGATCTGATATGAGATTTCGATTATCAACGTTTGGGGGTGTACATAGGAGATAGAAAGTGACAAACACTTCTATCAATCTTTTCGATGAATAGTGGCATGAGCTAGCAAATAAATGGTCGAGGTTTGATAAGAATGTGATGACGAAACCAACGGTGATGGCAGTGACGATCACCACTAATCAGAAGAGGATGAACGGAAGGGAAATAGGTAATAGCTGAAATAATTCTATTGGGAAAACTTTAATCGGGTTTTGGTTTTTATTCCACATGGGGATGATGATTTAGGTGTTTAAAATCATATTTAGATATAAGGATATTTTTATTATTTTATTCACAAATAGTGTCCTAGCCTAGTGACTAGGATGGTATCCCATACCATGACATATGGGTTCAAAACCCCTCAACAACACCCCTCAGCAACACCCATTTCATTTTACATTTTTTAAACCGATGTGAGAGAGACAAACTAAGGGTTGAGCCCCTGAACTTCTAAGAATTTTGAAAATTACCTTAACATTTCCAAACTTCACATATCGATGCCAAAAAATTAATTAAATAAACTTAAATTAAAAACAAATGGAAAATTAAGGGTGTTAAAATTATATTATTTTACTTACTTAATGTTGTAGCAATTCCTTGAGTAATACTAGTCTCTATGGATACTATATTCGATGCATTAATTCGAATCACTTTATTATTTGATACAATAGTGTATGCTTGCATTGATTATTGTTACATTATTTGTGGCATCAAAATCATATCAAGATAAAGAAGAAAAAGAACAAAAAAAAGTGCAAAATGAGGTGAAAACAAGAAGACTCCACAAAAACAAAGGAGTTTAAGAAGAAAATAAAAGAAAAACTTTAAAAAGAAAGCACAAAATAGAAGGGTGAAAAGGCACAAGCAACATCAACTTCAACCATCAAACTAAGTAAGCATTTTGAAAACTTGATTGTGGTGATAGTGAGGTTGTAACTGATTTTCCTAGTAAGTAACCATTTCTTTTTTTCCTCTCTATTTCTAAGTCACTCTTTGTATTATATTTTTTCCTACCACTAACCTTTACGACCGATGCATCATAAGTAAGTCAACTAGTGAAAGTTTTGAGTAAGTCTACAAAAGAAATTTGCAAGTGAGAACAAGTGGAAAAAGGCCAGAGTGTGGTGAGTGTTAGAGTATGCCCAAAGACCAATCATATGATGATTGTAATAATACTTTTATTTACCGATTTTATTGAATAAAGGCATTGCCGCTATTATTTTAAGTTATATATATGTGTTTAACATAAACTGTAAGATAATAAAGTCCATATAATGACATAATTGTTATTATTAAAGATCCCTAGTCAAGTATTATTATGGCATGGACAATAATAATACGATTAAGACTAACATGTTATTGATTGATGACAACGAGTTGTCATTGACATAAAGATGTCAGAATTGATACATGATTATATTGTTAAAGAACAATGTATTGGATTGACCAACCATGAGCATATGTCTTGGATTATTATGTGACAGTCATAACATTGCTCATGGTGATGACTATATGTATGATCCTCAGACTTGAGATCAATACTATCCCAACATATATTGTTGTATGTTTTGATGTAGCTAAACAAGCTCCGTAACTGGTTGCTCTATAAAGACTGTTATTGAATATATCTCAATATATGTAGTGGGTGTGTATGATTAAGATAGGATTTGTCCTTCCTACATAATAGGAAATATATCATAGGCCATTTGATTGAGTAAGACTAGAAACGCATGGCCATACTCGAATAAGTTGATATGAGATATCATAAACTATTCGTTAATTAAAGTCTACTCTAGATATCAAGAAACAATAGATGGGATATACAAGTGTGACTATTCCAAGACTTGTGCCTATTCTATATATAAATGACATAAGGATGTAATACATAAAAGAGTTAATCACCAAGATGATATGTCGAATCATATTTTCTTGTAACTTAGGTGACAATGATATATTGGTAGATGTCACTCATTGTATGAAATATTAGAATTGTTCTAATAATTACTGTTAACGTTACAAGAACCTACAGGGTCACACCCTAGGATGAAACGAGCAAAGATGTACAATTTGTTGTACGTTACTAAAATATATATATAGTTAATTAAATATATGTTTTAATAATATCGAATATTTAATTTCAATTAATTAAATATAGATTTAATTAATTTGAAATAATAAAATCCCTAATATTATTAGGGTAACTTGGATATAAAAGGATTATTAAATTCCAATTAATTAAATATAGATTTAATTAATTTGAAATAATAAAACCCTAAAATGATTAGGGTAACTTGGCTATAAAAGGGTGTGTTAGGTCTAGCAGCCATTTTAGAGCACACACACAAAACCTTCAGCTGTTTTTCTCTCAAAACTGTTTTGGGGAAGAAAATTATTACTCTAATCGGGTGAACTGAGTAGAGGCCGAGACGTGATTTCGTGGAGGCTTACGTTTCGAACCGATCTACACCACCAGTATTCACTGTTGTCATTGTTGTTTTTCAAAGGAACCCGTTGTAAGTATTCGCATCCCTTTCTCCCGATTTAGTTTTTCATACTTGGATCGCTGGTGAGACCGTCGATTTTTGTTTTCACTGCACCATGGGGTACGTCAACGGTCCTAACAGTGAGATCATAAGAGGACGTGTTAAAATCATAAAGTCCTTAGTGTAAACACGAGTGAATTAAGTGACATTTCAAGTTTCTTCAGAGTGTTCTCGTAAGGCTTTGTGAGAGTACTTTGGTAAGGTCTATTATGCGTTCTTTTCTTTATTTTCACTAAACATGTCTCGAGAATCAAGTCAATCACCCCGTGGAGAAGCACCTAATCTCTAAGCACAAGCAATCATGTGAGAGATGTCAAGGTTAATCAGATTGGAACTTGAACCTCTACATGAACAGATATACCAAATTGAAGAATCCATAGACAATCATATAAGATAACCCCAACCGAGACAAGATGATAAATAATTTAAAGATGTAGACATCACTGAAGTTTACCAAGTTTCACAAGAATCAGGGAGGAGCATTGTGAGGGGCCAATGAAGACTTCATTTCTTAGATGAAAACCTTAACAACATAAGAGCAAATATCCCTCTATTCCAAGGAAAAATAGATCTTGAAATATATATTGATTGGGATACTAAGGTTTAACATGTTTTGAATTCCATAATTAATCGAATGAAAATGGTTTGGATGGTATGAAATGAAGATAGAAAGGCAACTCCAAAGGCGGTCTCTCAACCAAGGTAGTACTTCTTCCAAAAAATGGAGAAAGAAGGAAACAACTTCATAAGTCAAACTCCTTTACAAATCAAGAAGAATATGGAGACTCAAAGACCAAAGCAAGCTATAGTGGAGAATAACCAAAACATGGAGAAACAAACAAGCAATTCTGAGAGAAAAAAAGACATCAAATGTTTCAAGTTCTTAGGAAGAGGGAATATTGCTAATATGTCTCCCAATCAAAACACTATGTTGCTATTGGATGATGATGAAGTTGCTTCTGACTTTGAAGACAAGATCCATGAAGAAAGTATAGAAGAAATCTTTGAAGAGTAAGAAGAAGAATTAGAAATTGTTGTTAATGGTGAGTTGTTGGTCGTGAACAGACCCTTGAACAAATAAAAGGACAAGGAGGAGCAGGAAAGAGAAAACATATTTCACAAAAGGTGCAGTGTCAAAGGTAAAGTGTGCTTTATGATTATAGACGATGGAAGTTGTACAAATGTGGCAAGTACCATCATGGTTGACAAGTTGGCTTTGGAGAGATTGAAGCATCCAACTCCATACAAGTTACAAGGGCTCAATGAAAGAGGTGAGTTTAATATGACCAAGAAAGTTTTAATCTCATTTTCCATTGAAAGGTACAAAGATGAAGTTCTTTGTGATATGGTTTCTATACACGCAAGGCATATCCTACTTGGGAGGCCATGGCAATATGATAGGAAAACTATTCATGATTTTTATACCAACCAACAAACATTCAAGCATGAAGGACGCAAGGTTACATTAGCAACATTGTCACCCCAATAAAGTGCAAAATGATCAATTACACATGAAAATGAGAATTGAAGCCTTGAAGAAAGTTCAAATCATTCCTAAGTTAAAGGATGAAAAAACCATAAATGGTAACCTTTTCACCAAATGATGTGTTGATTTAAAGAAATAAAGTAAAAAGATTAATACTTTTAGGACGGATCGTGATGATTGGAGTCAGGGACACAATTTGAATTGAAGAATCATGTTGTTTCAAATAAAGGACTCCAAAAGGTAAGTAACCTTTCATCTCAAACAACATATTCTTTCATTTTGCAGGATGGTTCACGTGAAAGGCAACTTTCAAAAGGTATGTCAATTGAAAAAGACTTTTCCAAAATAGTGTGTCTATTGAAAAAGACTTTTCTAAAAAGGTATCTATTCGCAACTTACTATCCAAAGAAAGACCTATGGAAAATCTTTATGAAAAGACACATTTAAAAAAAAATTATTCGAAAGGAAACAGGTGAAGGAACATGGTTCAAAGGAAGAGAAAACTCTCATTCATTAAAATAGAGGCCCTATACAAGAAGACATCAAACATTCAACCTTGAATAAAGAAATGTGGTATAATTGAAAAAATGATTCAAGTACCTTTATGGAAAGGAATGTAGAAGAAACAAGGAATTCCAATTTAAAGGCAAATTGCCTCAAAGAAAGGTATAGTACACTCATATTATTACACCTACTACTCTTCTTCTTTGTTTCATTAAGTCGCTCACGGTTAAAGGACAAGGGAGTTTTCGAATACCTTTCATATTTTCTCTTATCATTCATACTTAATCACATTATGCTATACTTTAGACATTTGCATTATGTAACATTTTTTATTCACTATAATTATGTTATCATACCTTATGTCATACATTTTATGCTTAGGTTAAATATTATATATGTTAAATATCATAATATGCATATTCACTAAGTTCTTAGCATGATAGAAGCCCCACATTCTTATACTTAACTTATTTTATGCATATGCTACGTTACACATTCATTTATAACTTGTTTTATGAATATACCATGATTATCCATTATTATATAGTCTATTCATATCTACACTTAGCTTATATCATTTTATGTTACCTCATGAATTCATTCTTAGCTTATCTTAGCTCATTTGCATAGTTAACATAGGCAAAAACATGTATTTAGATTAATTCTAGCTCATACACATCTAACTTGATTATTTTCATCACTTACATAAGTGTACACATTGGTGAGTCATCATATGGCAAACCGGTTAAGCAAAAATCAAAGCATGGTAGCTCAAAACTAGCTCAAAGTAAGGACAAGAAATATAACTTAGCTAAAGGGAGCTCAAAACGTGAAAATCTTAGCTCGAGGCTAACAAAGAAGCTAAATAGGAGCTGAAAGTAGCTAGAGACTAGCTGAGGACTTAGTAGCTAAGCTAAGGACTGGAACCAGCTGGGGAGTAGTTGATAGGGTAGTTGAGTAAGTGAAAAAGTCACTAACTAGTTATCTTGATTTATTCTAGCTCACACTCACCTAATTACCTAATTGCCATTCACCTAGTCACCCGAGCATCAAGTGAGCACCATGGCTGAACCTAGAACCATTCTTAGGCATGAAGAACATGTGACATCAAGCTTATCATATGACCTAAGGCGTGAAAGACATGTGACCCAATGAGCTCTCTAGCGCACATCCACATAAAGGCTTATCATGTAACATTCTTAGGCACCCAAATTCAAATGAAAAGAGATAACCATTCACTTAGGCACTGACATGATGGGTTTCATCACCATTCAACTAAGGATCATTACCCCTCGTACTAGTCGAACCAACACCTCTCTTATTTTAATTTGTATTTGACTCATCTTGTATTAATGAAAGAAAAAAAAGGCTTGTAGAAACATCATCTAATCATTCGGACAAACCTTTACATTTCCTATAAATATGATAACCATTTGTATTGTAAGACATCATCCTTTGATCATTAATACAAGTGTGAGGTTATTCTCTCTTCTTAGTCATTTTTTGAATTTATCGACATATCAAGTAATAATACTTGTGGCGTCAAACCCTTCTATTTCCATAGACACTTGTGGTTCCTATCTCTTAGTCATTATTTACCAACCTTTTAAGAATAATATAAAGGTTGGGTCTATGTTCTTTAACATAGGTTCTTCTTTGAGCCTTCTCTAAGATACTACTTCACTTCAACATCCCTTTCTTTCATAAGCCTACACCACACCCATAAATATCCAAAACCATCCCTCTATTTCATCATTTCAAGCTCACCCTTGCACCATTTACATTAACCTTCCAAGCCTATCTCATTTGAAGACTTCACTTAATTGAATGGTGTTTGCTTCCTTCCTAGAACCACAATCAAATATAGGTCCTTCCGACATCACCGACTCTGGAGCATAATGACTAAATGAAAGAAAATCTCTCTGTACTCGTACACTAAGTGATCCCCCTGAACTAACTTAGAGAACTACATCCCCAACCCATCTATGTGTACTTTCATGATATAAATGCCTCTAAAATCTCTTAAAAATTGATCCCACATATGCATCTCTAGCTATAGAGCCATCTCTATAGTCTCTCACTGGTCGATAGCTTCACCCTTGAGCAAAGCGATGGCACACTCTAACTTATCGTCTAGGGTAACGTGAAGTTGTCCCAAGGTTCTTATGGTCTCCTTCAACCATTGTTTGACAAAAAATGAATAATCATCTAAACCATCTAAGTTAACTGTCTTGTACCTACATAGTCTCTCTACTAGGGACTCTTCTGGTTCTAAGGTACTCAAAGTGATCAATCGAACAATTTGAGCTCTAAGAATAATGTACATTATCTTCCTAAGAGTGGAAGTTAAATTGCTAAAGAAAATAACCTATGTGACTCTTGCGTCTATTGGAACAACATAAGCCTTTGCCCTAGGAAGAAACTCATCACTTGTAGTACTAGGATAAGAGGCACGACTCTTCATCCAAATCCCTAAGACTACACTTAGAACCATTGGCCATCATAAAATCTAAAAAAACATAGTCAAAGAGAAGAAACATTAGAATTTCGGACTTATAAGAGTATTTCTAGAACCAAGAGGAATGCTTCCACAGACACCTTACTATAACCAACCATTGGGTCCTAAGACTGACTCAACCTAAGCTCGTAACACCCTAAACTCGATTGAACCTAAAGTGTCATACTAAGCTACTAAGACAACCACTAAATTTAAAAAGTTTTTCCATTTTCATTTAAACCATTATATATTTTCCAAAATAGACATTTGTAACCATCATTCAATACTTTTACAAACCGGAGTTGTTTGATACATAATTTAAAACAAATAATACAACTCAAAGTTTACAAATCCAAATAAATAAGTAAGGTTCTATGAATACACATGCCCACTAAAAGCTATAGTATAATATTCTAGAAGAGATATTGGAAATCCTGTTTTGATAATGTTTCCCAAACAGCTCAATCTACTAACCTATGAACGAAAACATCCGAACATTGAGCTTACAAAGCTTATTAGTATAATCACTAATCTATACCAGCATCATATGTCTCATAAACATAAGCATGCTAGAAGACAAGCTAATAAGAAGTAGGTACATGCATGATCATAATCAAGTCCTACCTACTTAAAGTTTAATTGTTCTACCATTATAGTAAGAGTCTTATGCTTCCCTTAGTCCTCTACTAAGGGCCTCTCCATGAGTGCATTCTCTAAATGCTACACACTCTTAGTACCTGGTCTCACATAGATGTTAAATACTATTTATAACTGAGGTAAATCATAGAGAGGAACTCGGTCTCACATAAGTCTCGATATAATTCCCGCTCAAACATAGTATTGGATCAGTTTTACACAGTCGTCATGCCAAGCATTAAGAATATTTGTTGTAAAATAATACTACAATCACACATGCATAGTTGGGTGGCCTAAGGCCACACTCAATACAACCAATGCCACACTATGGAAACTAAGGTAGCTCAGCTACTCACTAGCATAATTTATCACACTCAAGTGAGGTCATCCCCTCACTCACTATTATTTTTCTTGTTCTCTCATCTAGAATGTTTTGAAAGGTTTTATTATTTTGTTACATCATTAGTTCGTTAAGCTACTATATTCTATTTATGTAACACCCAAAGGTATTTTAGTCATTTTCATCTTTAATGAGCTTTATAAACATTTTATACTTTTACGATGATTATTATTACCAATACTCACTTGGTGTATTGTTTCCATCTTGACACCCAACTCAGGTAGGTTATCCGATAACGACACTCTCTAGTCACCCTCGCCACACTTTTCTTCTGTTTAATCTTGAACTAAAGGGGCAACTTATGCACTTTTAGTTTCTTGATGTTCATGTGGTGAACAATTCTTCTATCACATTATCCATATGATACACGTCTCGCTTACAAGCATATCCTTCATAATGATATATCATTCGTGATTGTTTGATACACATCCCTTTAAGGGTATTTTTTAAAGTTTCTTATCCACTAAGGGTATTTTGGTAATTTATGACACGTTCAGATATTTTGGTCATTCACCACTCTTAAGGGTATTTATAGTCCTTTATCAACCTTCGATATTGATCTCAAGCCTTTGGTATGAATACTAAACCTTTCAGTATGGATACCAAACCACCTGTAAGTATACTAGTCTATTTGATATGGATATCAGCCTTCTGATATGGATATCAATTCATCCAGTGTGGATATCAACCTTTTGGTATTGATATTAAGTATTTGGTATCAATAATGTGCATCTCGTATTGAACTCTTACCCTCAGTATCGATACTAAAATACCAGTATCGATACTAGTTCAACCAGTATCGATATCGTGGCAGAGAAAACCCAGTTTTCACCTAGAATATGAACAATATCGATACTACAACCAAGAAAAACCATAATAAGGCTCGAGAAACACTCAAGAATTCTCCCAAAAACCCTAGTTTTGTCCCAAATCATCTCCTAAAGCTTATGAAAATTATTTAGGGCCGTCTAGCACTATAAAAGTAATATATTTTCAACAAAAACATCATTTATGGTATAAATCAAGGAAAAACCCTAACATGCTTAAACACCCAAATCTCAACAAAGAATCTTATGCAAGTCATAACATCATAAAGGATTAGTAAGACACCATCTTAGCTACATAATTTGAAATGAAGTTCATTGCTTAACCACACTCGCTTTCTTTAAGATTCGGATACTAAACCCCCACTTTCTCTAGCCAACATAGAGACCAATGATTTCTTTAGCAAAAAGAAGGTAGAAGGGATTATGGATGAATTTGAAGTTTAAAATGAGTA